TCACACACACTCACACACACTCTCAGTCTCAAATGATCCGACATCATCCTCTGGCCACTAATGTTTTTGTCTGAACAGAAGAAAATCGATGCTTCACATCCAGTGAAAGAAGCCACGAGTGTTTCTCACCGTGGAAACATCCCATAATGAGTGTCTCCTTTCAAACGCCCACTGGCTCTCACAGCTCTGTGTCCTAATGTGCCCTCGTCCAGAGCTGAGAAGGAAGCCATGATGATGATGATGATGATGATGATGAGGCCGTCCCTTGTATTTGCCTTGTCTGTCTTGATCCGTCTCCCTTAACCTTCCCCATAACACAGCGTGACATCATCCAGCGACGCCAATCAAATACCATATCTGCCAGTTGAAGTGTCCGTATCCTGAGTTTGTTGTGTTGTATAAGATTTAGATTTCTTTTCACTCACTGGTTCTTCAGTCACAGCAATAACTAGAATAACCACCAGTTTATCTTTGAGTCCAAGTGACAACTGGTCAGAATGTTATCACGCTCTGTGAGGCCACCGTGACCTTTGACCTTTATTCACCCAAATGTAATCAGTTAATCCACGAGAATCGAAGTTAACATTTGTGCTGAATTTCCAAAGATTCCCTCGAGTCATTCTTTTTTGAGATTAGACGTTCACGAGGTAAAAAAAACCTTCTAATCAGGTCATCCTCGAGTGAACATCTAGGAGCAATGAAATTCCAGCTGGTGTTCGAGATGTAAAGATAAATTTTTATCTTTAAAATCAAATCAGTTCATCTTTCCAACTGACCATTTGAACTAAAAGGTCACAACGACCTTCACCTTCGACCGCTGGACAATAAATTCTACAATTTTATCTTTGAGTCCTATTCAAACAACCTGAACAACCAAAAAACAGAATGCCTGCAGCCACTAGGTGTCTCTGTTACGTAGGCATGAAAAAGGATCCACAGTTTGGGAAAGTGAAGCCAGTATAGATAAAACGTGGGTAAAAATAAAACAATATGAAGAGTTAAAACTGAAGAGGAAATGCTCAGCGCTGCTACAGACGGACAGAGGGTCAGACAGGTGTGTGTGTGTGTGTGTGTGGGGGGGGGGGGGGTTGTTTGGTGAGACAGGTGAAAGACAGGAAGTGCGTACAGACAAGAGAGAGAGAGAGACGGGTCTGTGACCTTTTCTAACATTCAGTTTAAAGATCAGAGACATCAAAATGGATTTTTCTTCCTCCTCTGCTGCTCAG